TGATGTTGCTCTTTTAGAATTATGTAAAATGGCACCCAACACAGTTATTGTTGTGATATATTTGTTCTTTTAACCCCTCCACAATGATAATATAGAAACGGCCTTCATCTGTCGGTCACATTTCTTGTTTATGTGATAATTTGAGGAGATTATATCAGATTCCAAATAAGCAATATTGTTTTGTATTAAGTAGATATAAGAAGATGTGGTATGAGTGCCAATGAGACAACTCTCCACGGGTCGAGTACAGCCTTCAACACAGAGCCTTGGCTCGCACCAAACAGTAAGCTATAAAGGGCCACAAAAATTACTAGTGCAAAACCATTCAAACAGGAAAACCAACAGTCTAATCTATATAAAAAACAAGAACACTTATGAACCACATCAACAAACGACAACCACTGAATATCAGGTTCCTGACTTAGGACAGTTGCAAACAAATGCAGAGGGTTTAAACGTTTTAATTGGTGCCAACCTTCACCCTATCTGAAACAATAGTGTAACATCACAACATAGAAAGACACACTATAAAATATCAATTGAAATGGCTAAACTCATCAAAAGACATATTAACAAAAACAAGTGAACATACACTGACGAATAAATTTGATCTATGACTCAATGTGAATACAAAATTAATAAAACAAGGGGGTTAGATGTAAAACAATATCAAAAAGACAACCACAACCTTGGACAAAATGCCGCCAAATAAAATAACGTACACAGGTAAATAAAAATGATTTTGTTGTAAGGTAAACATGTGGAGTATGGAAATAATTTTTACAACATAAATAATTTTGTTGTTCCTAGTACGATAACAAAAGTGAAAATTTATGGTCATTATAAACACTTACCAAAAGGTGGTATATATTTAGAATAGTGAGACTAGATATAATACTGAATAAGTAAACATTAGATAGCAAAAATACATTACAAATTGTATCAACAGGTCAAATTAACACGAAAGTACAATTTGAGAGTACTCGCAGTTACTGAAAGTTAGTTAAAAGTCAAAAACAATGATAAAAAATCATGCATCAGAGACTAAAATCAACTAAAACACATCCCAGGGATTTAAATTATTAAGATTAAAAGGTTGCAAATGAGAAGATTTTTTTATAAATTTTTAGATGGAAGTAATTCATGAGAAGTTTTAGATGATGGGGATTATATAATTGATTTTTTGGGTTTTTTTTGTTGTTGTTGGGCTGGACTTTTAGCCTTAAAGTTGATGTGTGGTTAATATTTATGAATAAGACAGCAACTTAACTACAAAAAAAAAACCCAAAATCAAAAGACATGCTGAAATATTACTTGTACTAATTTTTTTACAATACTAATCTATCATTTGTCTATTGATACACTCCCCCCCCACCCCTTCTCCTCACCGAACACTAAAAAAAAAATAGAAGCTAGAAAGTCATGATGTACTATCACTCTAGGTCATAGATTTCAAACATGCACTAATTTAAAAATGTATTGCAAAGGGAATTAACTGCTCTAATTACCACCTTCACTTAAAAGTCCCAATTGGTGAGGCATGGAACAAGTTAAAAGTCCCAATTGGTGAGGCATGGAACAAGTTAAAAGTCTCAATTGGTGAGGCATGGAACAAGTTAAAAGTCCCAATTGGTGAGGCATGGAACAAGTTAAAAGTCCCAATTGGTGAGGCATGGAACAAGTTAAAAGTCCCAATTGGTGAGGCATGGAACAAGTTAAAAGTCCCAATTGGTGAGGCATGGAACAAGTTAAAAGTCCCAATTGGTGAGGCATTGAACAAGTTAAAAGTCCCAATTGGTGAGGCATGGAACAAGTTAAAAGTCCCAATTGGTGAGGCATTGAACAAGTTAAAAGTCCCAATTGGTGAGGCATGGAACAAGTTAAAAGTCCCAATTGGTGAGGCATTGAACAAGTTAAAAGTCCCAATTGGTGAGGCATTGAACAAGTTAAAAGTCCCAATTGGTGAGGCATTGAACAAGTTAAAAGTCCCAATTGGTGAGGCATGGAACAAGTTAAAAGTCCCAATTGGTGAGGCATTGAACATTAGTCAACAAAACATTTTTACACTAACAGCAGCAATCACAATTGACCCACAAATTTTATTTTGACCTTGCATTGGCTGATTCAAAGATCAAATGATGTGTGATTTAAATATTCTATGAGCAATATTTAAATGTCTAAATAAGGAGTTATCATGTACTTAACAATGAGATGCAAATTCTTGTTTTTAAGATAAATTTGCATTATTCATCATAAATATAGTAAAGGGGTCATTGGCTAGAACAATAGACAATTTTTCCACATGAAAAATATTACAGAATTTTAGTGATGTTAGTTTGGGTGTCTATATTACATGTATTGATAATATTGATATGTTTTTTTTTTTTTTTTATCTTTTTTTATTTCAAAACCTTCAGCATGAGTTATATAATTAATATACATATCATAACATCTTACAAGCTGTTCAGATGTAGATGAAAACACTTTATTTAGAATTAATGATATTGTCAGTTAGTATTGTTTTGCAGGTGCATAAGGAAGCTGTGAACCTTGGTGTGATCAGAGATAAAGACAGATATATTTGCAATATTCCAGATGTTATACAGCAGGCAGGTACATCTACCGTAAATAAACGACTGGATGGAGCATATTCTTTCTAAAATAATGCTAACTTTTATTTAAGGCTAATGGAAACTGAAAATTTAGGACAATATTTAGAAAAATTATTTTGCTACCTTTTTAAAGATTTCACAATTTCGTTGGTATGCAGATTTTGCCTTTGTTTATAGTTCAGTACTTGTCTATTCTTCTATTTCTATTCTATTCTACCATATAATGACCGCCTTCAACAAATTATAGATTATGTCACAGGAGGAAACTAACAACAAGACATAGATTGATATATATACAATTTTTAAAAAATACGAAAAAAATGAAAAAAAATGCTTTGTATAATTAAGTATGATGTAATAGTTGAGTTAATATTGATGTTTTGAAATTAATGATTTGAAAGAGTCTACTGAAGTGCAATTTACAATGTTATCCGGTAGTTTGTTCCAGTCGATAATAGTTCATGGAAAATAGGATTCTTTTCTGTAAGTACTGTGTTTTGTCCTAGGATAAGAAGGGCTAACTTCGTAGATTCTAACATTTTCAGTATGCTTTATGCTGCACCAATAGGGCCTCATGTTTTACCCTGTTCATTCTCTCTCTGGTTTGTTCCTGCAATTACTACATTTTTTAAGGTGAACACTTTTCTGTAGAATGTTTTACACACTGATTTTTGGTGTGTAATGTGAGAATACCCGTAGATACTAATTTTTGTGAACATAAAAATAAAGTAAAGATATTAATTCAGGAAAAGGAGGATAGTTGAACCTACATTATATGGTTGTGCTCATTATTGAAGGTTGTACAGTGAACACTAACTGCTTACATTTCTTTGGTTTTAATGGATAGTCATTTCATTTTCAAACGTGCCACATTTATTTTATTTTTTTTACAGTACTGTAGTCAATTTATTTAAAACATTTTGGAAATGCATTTCATTATTCATCCCTTTTGAGCTAGAAGGTTATAATTTTTTGGAAAAAATTTTAAAAGATTTTTCCAGGGCTATTATTTTTCTTTAGTTATTCCAAAAATTATGTATAGAAATAATAGAGATAAACAAACTGTCATATGTGTGGTACACATTCCAAGCCAGAATATTGTGGCAAAGTTTTGTATACAATGAAAAAAAAAACACTATAAATTTAATGTGTTTAATGCACTTTTTTGAATTTACCTTCATCAGGAAAGTTTAAACTCTTGAAAGTACAACTTGTTTACACATTGCTGATATGATTTTTTAAAGTTGACTCATGCATATTTACAAGCGGGGGCATCTGTGGCCCATAGACACATTCTCCTTTATTTTAATCGATTATGGAAATATACCTGAATTTGAATGATAAAAAAAAATCCACCATTTCTTGTGTGTATATTTATAGAAATTCACAGAGTACTTCAAAGTTCTAGGGCAAACATCAAAATTCTGTTTTCTTATAGAAAATAGAATTATATAGATATAAGAAGATGTGGTATGAGTGCCAATGAGACAACTCTCCATCCAAGTCAAAATTTATAAAAGTAAACCATTATAGGTCACAGTACGGTCTTCAACACGGAGCCTTGGCTCACACTGAACAGTAAGCTATAAAGGGCCCCAAAAATTACTAGTGTAAAACCATTCGAACGGGAAAACCAACGGTCTAATCTATATAAAAAACGAGAAACGAGAAACACTTATGAACCACATCAACAAACGACAACTACTGAACATCAGATTCCTGACTTAGGACAGGTGCAAACAAATGCAGCGGGTTCAAACGTTTTAATGGTACCAAACCTTCACCCTTTTACTGAAACAATAGTGTAACATCACAACATAGAAAGACACACTATAAAATATCAATTGAAATAGCTTAACTCAATCAAAGGACATATTAACACTATTGAACATACACTGAACAAATAAATTTGACCCATGACACAATGTAAATACAAAATAAATAAACTAAGGGAAGAATAATAAAAGTAACATGTTATATCGGTAAGAAATGTTAACATATGAACATTTAAAATTTCAATTCAATTTAAAATCTTTTTTTTTACAAAATCATATTGTATCGTTTTATGTGTATAAATGTCATGCTGTCCATGCAGGACCTTTAATTAGAACAATAGATATTCTTATTCTTATTCATAGAATTTAGTTTCAAAGATCTTTGTAGGGACATTCTTATTTTCTATTAAGACTTCCAGATCACTATCATGTAGCAGTAGATAAAAAAATCATAATTCTAAGAGGATGCAGCAAAACTAGTGAACATAAGAACATGAAATCAATGATGCAAGCTGCTCCAATTACAGCATGTTTAAGATCTTACATAAATATTTTTATTAATTTTTGTAAATATTTATATTTTCCACTGTGTGAACTTGCACTGGTTATCTGCTTGTTACAGATGTTGTCCTAGGGAGAACTGTCTACAGCTGTCCTCATCAACACTGTAAAGCTTGTCTATTTAATTTATCTTGAGTGGCAGGAAATTTACAGCTTCTTGGCTCTATATACAGTACATTGCATACTAGTTAGTGGATTATTTGGACAGTAGCAGGTAAGTTTTGTTAAGCTTATATTTTGACACATATTTTTTTTTTTGTATTAAGAAATAATAGAAAAAGAGGATTCATCAAATATTTGACAGTACATTTTATCAAAAGAACAATTTTCATTAATTGCATAATTATTTTAATGAAATACTATCATATAGTCGTGTGTGCAAGCTTAGATACAATTTACAAAAAAGAAAAAGGTAAATTGTACATAGTCCACATCAACAACCAAATCTTTTGAAAATAGACCAAGTTACAAACAATGACACATAAATGAACAGTGCATGCAAGACTTAACAGCCCTGTCCCTATTCTTTATTTTAACCATCTAAACAATGAAATAATTTGTATTTTATTGTTAAATTTGGATTCTCCTCCTACATTTTATTATACGTGTGTATGTGGAGATAGGATTGGACACCTCAGCTTACATTGGCTAAATAGATCTATATAGATCTATGCCACTTGGATATTCAAAGAGAAGGTACAACAAAAAGGTAAAAGTCACATGTATGACAGAATAAAAGTCACAGTTCAAATTTGAGATAAAAGTTTTCTTTAATAATAAAAGACATATTTTTTAATCATTATTTTTCTTTTCCTTTAGGTATTTTATTATGGAACGTCTTTGTTCAAAAGAAATTATTGTAAAAAATTAAACAAAGATAAAATAATTGTGTAAGACACAAACTGATAAGTGCATCTTATGATTTTACAAATGTATATTGTAAATATATAAAATAAGAAGATGTGGTATGATTACCAATGAGACAACTATCCACCAGAGACCAAATATCACATAGATATTAGCAACTTTAGGTCAGTGTACGGTCATAAGAAATTCTTCTTTCCTGGCCCGAGAACACAGTTATTTCGTAGTGCATTTCTTTTAGACAATAAATTCAAATTAAAAAAATCGCACCTGCTCTATCTCAAAAAGATTTTTACAGTGTAGTGTACTACTATTGATACAAATAATATCAAAATTATAGAAACTTCTACCAGCTCTAACTCAAAATATTGACAATTCTGTGTTAAGGGGGGCTAAAATTCAGTTTGACAGCTTCAGACATTCTAATTTTTGACCTTTTTTAACTGGACCAAATCACTACTTAACATAAAGATTCAGCACCCAAATTTTTTTAACATGTAATTTCATCCCCTTACTTAATATTTCATGCATAAAATATCAAGAAATAAATTGGGAAAGTGTATCAAAAAAAAATGCAAGTTATACACTGTTCACACTAGGGACTATATTCGTAGACATCGAAAACCAAAGGACGATAACTGTGTCCTTGGACCTAATAGGATAGAAAAACTTGACCTTGACCAATTTTAATAAAACTTTGCATGACTTAAGCTTAGGAAATTATAAGATAGTTGGCCAAGTTTCATGGCCATAGGATATATATTATAGAAACTATAGGGTCATTCTAATATTGAAATTTGGATGTTTATTTTTGACATTTAAATCAAATATTTTCAACTGTCAAGATTTTGGCCTAAAAAATTTAAATATTGCAAAAATTTGCTTTTTAAATACTCTTGAATATAATATAATAAGTATTAAAAGCAACGGAACACTCATTTGATTTATCAGATTTATCACAGTTATTCAAAAGTCAAATTTATATGAGCCTGTGCCTGAAAATAGAGATTTTCAAATTAAGGGAAGCCTTACATAAACATGCATTTTTTTCAACCAATTTGAAGTTTTTGAAGTTTTTTAACAATACATTATTCTTCCATATATATTAAATGTACTTTAAATGTAAAGAAAAGTTACAAAAAGCATACCACATGAGTATAAAATGGTCTGAGGCCATGTAAGACTGAGAATTATTTAGAGTCGATTTAGGCCATAGCCCATATTTACATATAAAAATGCACACAGAGGCTATAAGAAATAGAAATTTGTTACTTTTTGCTCATTTCTATGCTAAGATGTTATGATACAAGAAGTCTTATTGCAAAAAGACTCTTGAATTCAACTTTTTTTTGCAGACAGTATGGTCTGATGACCAGTTTTTCACTTTTCAATGGAAAACTTGCATGTAGTTTTAGTCTCAATTGGCATATATTTGAACCACTTACTACCCTAAAGAAGAAAATTATGGTAGCATATGAAATGAATAGGGTGTACTGATCATTGTAAAGTGGTTTTTTTTACAGATTTAGTGAAATATTTGTGATGGACTACAGATTTTATGTACAAAGCTCTTCACATTTCACATACATCAAACAGGCCGTTTAACCAGGGACATAAATACAAATATTCTGCACATTTTTTCTGTGATAATCTACTTTTCTCTAGATTCAGAGTTCACAAATGGTTAATTAAATTTGATTTAAGCATAGAAACACAAATATCAGGAATATAAAAAGCTGTCAGATAGAAAGTCAGCATGGCTCTTAGGCATAAAATGGAAACTGCTTTAAAATGCTTATTTTAGCCGTATAATGCCAAAATGGGACATTTTAACAGAATTTCTGTCAAACAAAGATGTAAATCCTTTACTTTTCTTGAGTTTGACAGATTGAAACCAGCAAACCATTCATGAAAGTTGCCAAAGTACAGAATCTACATTTACGGAATTCATCTCTTAGGCCCGAGAACACAGTTATTTCGTAGTGCATTTCTTTTAGACAATAAATTCAAATTAAAAAAATCGCACCTGCTCTATCTCAAAAAGATTTTCACAGTTTAGTGTACTACTATTGATACAAATAATATCAAAATTATAGAAACTTCTACCAGCTCTAACTCAAAATATTGACAATTCTGTGTTAAGGGGGGCTAAAATTCAGTTTGACAGCTTCAGACATTCTAATTTTTGACCTTTTTTAACTGGACCAAATCACTACTTAACATAAAGATTCAGCACCCAAATTATTTTAACATGTAATTTCATCCCCTTACTTAATATTTCATGCATAAAATATCAAGAAATAAATTGGGAAAGTGTATCATAAAAATGGGAGTTATACACTGTTCACACTAGGGACTATATTCGTAGACAACGAAAACCAAAGGACGATAACTGTGTCCTTGGACCTAATACTTATATTTGATAAATCTTCAATAAACAATGCAAATTAACAGTTTCTTCAGCTGTAATTGAATTTATCTAATTACCCGGTATGTAAAATAAAAGGGAAAAAATCAGTAATTCTCCCTTATATATATATATATATATATATATTTGGAAAATTTGTACTCTATTAATTTGACCTTTAGTCTTTTTACTCGTTGCCCTATCAAATTTGTTACTTTCTTTTGTTTACCTTCAAATTACCACAGTTTAAAAATCTGAATAAATTACAAAATTACTTATATTTGTATCTGTAAGTGGAGATAAAAATATCCATAAGTTTTAATGAAAGTGGTGTTAAACACCAATCAATAAATCAATCAATCCTTGATACAATAGAAGATAATTAATAAGAGTTATGCAAAATTTAAAAAAATGTATTAATTACCACACCATCTTATTGCCTTATGGAAAAAATAGATCTGAACAAAAATGAGTAAAAATTCTTTTATTTTATATTTCAATCTGAAATTTTCTGACCAATTATGCACTGCAATGGGCTATAATTTCAGCTCTTAAAATATGTCATCTAGTAGTTTAAAGTTTTTCACTAAGATGTCCTGCAACCCATTTTTGATGCCATTTTACATTCATGTATATATTAGAAGTTTAGTGTATGGTGTTATAAAATTATACAGATTTAAAACATGCTCACAACATCCGAAAGAATTTGATATGCTCATTCAGTGTTAAGTGGTACTTAAACTAAGGGTACAAAGGATGTCATGATCAAATTATGAAGGTACTATACAAAAGTATCATTATTACATGTAAGTGGACACACGTGCCTAGACAAAGTTCAGAGTGAAGTTTTTCTTTGTTCAATGGTTCAAATATTATAGAAATCAACCTTATATATATATATGATAGGGCACGTATACATGTACATGTATAAGAATTTGATTGATTTTGGAACATTCAAATACGAAATAGAGCAGCTCAATTTTCAAACAGTTACAGACTTTCAATAGAGATTTTTTCATCCCGTAATAGGTTAACAGATGTATTGATATTCATTTGCATAAGGCTGATTTCTATCAGATGCAGCCCATATATTATATTGAAGATAATTAGATAGAATAGAAAATGGAAACAGGGAATGTGTCAATGAAACAACAACCCTACCAAAGAGCAAAAAACAGCTTAAGCTGTAGGCCACCAATGGGTCTTCAACACAGCAAGGAAATCCCACAACCGTAGATGGGCTTCTGCTGGCCCCTAAACAATAAGGTATACAATTTTATCCAAATGGACACTGCACTAAACTCAGAAACATACAAATGAACCAAAATCTAAAAAAACACAAGACTAACAAAGGCTAGAGGTTCCTATCAAGTAGATTTCAGTTTATTTCTCATTTTTATGCCCCACCTAGGGGCATTATGTTTTTCGGTATGTGCGTCCGTTCGTTCATTTGTCCGACTGTCCATTCCTCTGTCCTGCTTCAAGTTAAAGTTTTTTAGTTAAAGTTTTTGATCAAGGTAGTTTTTGATGAAGTTGAAGTCCAATCAAATTGAAACTTAGTACACATATTTCTTACGATATGATCTTTCTAATTTTAATGCCAAATTAGAGTTTTGACCCCAATTTCACAGTACACTGAACAATGAAAGTGATAATGCGAGTGGGGCATCCGTGTACTATGGACACATTCTTGTTTATGAAAATATATGACTTTAACATTCGAGACCTACTGACAGTTTTAAGATTTGTGACAAATGTTATCCTTCTGTCGCTAAAAATCGGTCATTACTCCAAATCAGTCACCTTTAAGAATGACGATTTCATTGATAGAAATAGAATGACTTCTTACTTTCTCAATATGTTTCATTCGTATTATTTCTGTAACCATAAAAACTTGCTTACTTTACGCTGACTTTTGATGTTATTTAAATATGTTACGGACC